CCACAGTTGTTTTAAAGGGCGCTTCCACTTTTTCCCGGGAGACTTGGGGGGGGGGCGGCGATGGTTTCTTTTGGGGAGGTGGGGGATATTTTTTGCAGCAGCAGCCGGTATTAGGGGCCCCCCACGGGGCGGCGACCCGGCGGAAGAGGCGGCGGCCGAAGACCTTGAAGATTAGGGGGGAAATGGGGACCCAAAGAATGATTCATTTTGGGGGGGAGAGAATTCGCCGCCGTCAAATGAATGATTACCTCGCCGTCTTCCGCTCCTTGATGCCCCCTTCTTATGCTCAAAGGGTACCCCCCCCCCCCCCCCACCCCCACAAGTTATTGCATTAAAAAATGGGGTTATAAATAATTTAATATTATTTAAAAAAAATTTGAAATAATAAATATTAGTAACTAAACCCACTATAATTTTATTTTTTTGCAATGATTTGCTTGTTATAAAACTAATATTTAGGGGTTACATACTAAAACATATATCGATAGAATTTTTTAGCAATTCGATATAATACAGGGTGCTGAATGCAATAAACTCAATCTTTTATCGTATGCTACAATATGCTAAAACAAGAAATTTATAAAATGCATGTATATATATCTATATGCATGCATGTAATATTTTGTGTGTAATTCCAATTTATTTTGATGTGGCGTGACATGAATAATAATAATAATAATAATATCTGAAAATAATAATAATAGTAATGCTAATAATAATATTGATTTTTGTATTTTTCTTGTAATAAAAAATAGGGAGATCAAGCATCAATTGTAGGAGGTGCAATAAACTTCGTGAAAGAACTCGAACAACTGCTCCAATTTCTGGAAGCCCAAAACCCAGCCAATCAATTACAACCACCACCGAGCGGCGGCGGCGCCGCCACCTACTCCGGCCTTTTCTCCAAAATTTTCACCTTCCCACAGTACTCAACATCTCCGAGCGCCGCCGTGGATGCGGCGGCGACGACGGCGGAGGAGAGGCGGTCGGGCGTGGCGGACATTGAGGTGACGGTGGTGGAGAGTCACGCGAATATAAAGCTATTAACAAAAAGACGGCCGAAACAGCTGCTGAAATTGGTCGCCGGATTTCAGTCAGTTTATCTGACGATTCTCCACCTAAATATTACCGCCGCCGCCGTCGATGAATCGGTGCTCTACTCTTTCAGTGTTAAGGTATGTTCTGTTCTTAATTTTTGTGAAGTTACGCTTTTACCCCTTGAATAATATATATTATATACTAGCATCTAATAATCGCCTCATAAAAAAAAAAAAAAATTATATATTTTGGATAGAGAACAAATTTTTATGTGTCACACATGACATAATAAACATTAAAAAGGGAATCTTTTCGTCATAACTTGCATTATTGTATTGTATTTTTAGATCATATATATATATATCCAGCTATTTATCAAACAAAAAGAAAAAAAAATCAAAAATTATAATTTTCGATTCGGTTTTTATAATACAAACTAAAGCCGTTTTTTTTTTATTTTGGAACAACGATTTTGGTAATGTATTTTAAAAAATATGATTTTCGATCCGGTTTTAATTTAAAAAAAAATGGAAGTTAAATTTCGCCAGATTTCGATTAAAAAAATTCTAAAATTTGAAACTAGTTTTCTCATTCCAATTTCCAAAATCCTAATTTTCGATTTTATCGAAAGTTTTTTAACATTCAGAGCTTAATTAATTTTAGTACTTATCACTTAAAGAATTCATTACAATGTGATGTACTCCATCCGTTCGATAATATCTGTTCTTTTGAAAAATTTTCTTGTTCCATATTATCTGTCACTTGTCAATTCCAACACCGTATTAATTACATATTTTTCAATTATATATTTATTAACTCTTCAAACACTCTTTCTGCATTTATTAGTAAACAAACGCATTCTGGTCTATCAATATTTATTCTTTTAAAATCAATACATATTTATTCAGATTTTTAAGGGTTCTATCAAGGTGAAAAACGACACTTATGCATTTCAGCAACGAAATTCATATTTAGAACCTACAAAAGTTATCCTAAAATGTTATAACAAATAGTACTATTGAATGATCAAATATTGGTTTAGATATTTAACTTTACTATTATTTATTTATTTATTTACTTATTTATTTATTTATTTAATTAATTATAGGTTGAGGATGAATGTGAGTTAACTACGGTAAACGAAATAGCAACAACTGTGCATGAAATTGTGGGTATGATCCAACAAGAGTCACTTTCCAGCTGAGACAACCCGCCGCATGATTAATTCATAGTCGTCCCAAAAATTTTAATTTATTGTCAAATCATTTTTCTTCATAAATTATTTAAATAATTAGTTATAGCTTACCTTTTTTTTTTTTTTTAATATAAATCTTAATTTAATGCTACTCTACGATATTAGTAGTTTGATTAATTTAATATGCGTTTGCCAACTACTTATGTGGATTATTCTATTTTAGGTGGTAATTATTATTTTTTTTCTTATGTGTGAATCAAGGCAACGACAATAGAAATTCCAAACTTCACTGATTTATAGGGATTTTAATTTATTTTATTTTATTAATTTATGTATGATGTAGACAACTTTGACAACGAGTACTTGATTGTTCAAAGTGGTTTAGATTATTGTTACTAGTATTCAATCACAATTTGACATGTCACAGTTACAAATAAAATCAGTCATAAATTTCTATTTGATATCCATGCTGAATTAGATGAAAGTTAAATCCATATTAAAATATCATCTCAAATATCGAAATGAATATTCGATAACACAATTTTCATATTTAGTATTGGAGTTGCTCTAGATATTTTAAGATACGTATTGTTCGTAGTATCTTAAAATACGCTGGATCTCTTTCTTCCTTTTTCACTAGTAGAATATTCATTTTTTTACTTCGATGTTTTTTGCTACGCTGAAAGGTTTTGCTACGCTGAAAGGTCATAACAAAAAAATACTTTTTACTTCGGGACAATGTTGGAGTCGTAGTAAATGTTAGGACTTATCGTAGTATATATAAAATATTTGCTACGGCCATTTATCATAGGCCGTAGCAAAGTTTTTATTTTGCCCATATATGCTACAGAGCAAATTTGTAGCAATTGTTTTTTCTACTACGAATTTAATATCTTTTATTACGTACAGTTAGTTCTCGTAGTAAAAAAATATTTTTCTACTAATGTTTCGCAGAAACATGTTAACCATTTCACGGGTGCCCAAAAGCCTCCACGCGCGTGTTTAATAATTAATGTTGTATGGTTTTCAAAGAAAAAGAGAAGAAGAAAAAATAATAAAAACAATAAAAATATTTTTATATATAAAATCTAGTATATTGAATTTCAAATTTTAAACTTGAAATTAAATTTTATTTGACGTTCTAATGATATTATTATTAAGGGTGAAATGTCGCTGTGGGTATAATTGGGCCTTTTATACAGTTATTGAGGAGGCTTCTACCACAAACATTGGCCCAACATTAGCCACAAGAATATATTTGAAAACACTTGGGAAGATAAAAGATTGATATAAAAATGAAGGGTAAATTCCCCTTTCCCTGATATCACTTTACCCGCTTTTGTTCTTAATTGCATCGATTTGTCCATTGTATACGAAAAAATGTCTCAATGTAGGACTCGCCGTTGGTTTTCAAACCTTTGACCTTAACAACGTTTGATCTAAGTCTGAAAATTACAAAAAGAAAAAAACCACCCCTCCTAGTTTAAATAAAAATTAAAAAAGTTAAAAAAAACAAAAAAAAAATTAATAATAAAAAAATTCAAGACAACGAGAAAACATACTACACGACGCCAGCCACAATTTATTTTTTAATTATTTTTAATAATTATTTAAAATAGGAGGGGTGATTTTTTGTAATTTTCAGGCTTAGATCAAACAGTGTTAATGTCAAAGGTCTGAGAGAGGGTCACATTGAGACAATTTTTTAAATACAAAGGGACAAAATCGATGCAATTTGAAAAAAAAAATCAGAATTTTGGAAATTGTAATTACAGAATTTGTTCTGACATCGTATTTATTTTTAATCGAAATACCCAAAATAAACAGCACTTAGAACATACGGACTCTGACTTAGAACATACCGACTCTGCTGGGGATCGAACCCAGAGTCTCTGGTTTCGTAGACCAGCGCCTTATCCATTGGGCCACAGAGTCCTTGTTGTCTTTTATCAATTTGTTTTATAGAATAACTATTTTTATTAAAGTTAATTAACAATCAAAAAGTATTAACAAAGATAGATATATATTTAGGGGTGGGTTTGGTAGGGCAGCCGTACCAAATCCCTCGAATCACTACCATTACTGAAATTTCGGTATTATGAAATTCATTACCATTGCCCTACCAAAAACTTTGGTATACCGATTTCGGCATACCAAAATTTTGGTACGGTAGGGTATAGTAATGATAATTACCAATTTATATTATCTACTATTTAAATCTAAATTCAATATTATTTTTTTTTTTAAACCATTCAAGGTATATACATGTTTAAAGTTCAAACTAGTATTTATGATATAAGTATTCTAAATATATGTTCTTAATTTACCAAATATGAAATATTTCGTAAATACAATTATAAAATTAAAACTTTTAAAATCAATTATATCATTATTAATGAAAGCAATTTAAAATATTTTTGACATACATAAAGAGTATAATTAATTTTAACTCATAGTAGTTCGTTAGGATACTATATTAACTTTTTATATATAATAAATTAATTATTAAAATAAAATTTTATTTATTAATAATATTTCGGTACGGTAGGGCAATACCATTGTAATAATATTGAGTGTTGTTGCCCTACCAAAACATTTCGGTAGGGTACGGTAATAATTCGGTAGAATTATTTCGGTAGAGAATCGGTAGGGCTCGGTAGGGCAACGGGTTGGTAGGGCAATTTGGTAAAAAAAACCCACCCCTATATATATTTATTAAAAACGACTATGCTGGGGATCGAACCCAGAATCTCTGGTTTCGTAGACCAGCGCCTTATCCATTGGGCCACAGAGTCGTTGATGTTCTACTCTGTTGTATACCTTTATTTAATCAATGCTTAATGAATAATTGATCTTATGTCACGTATAATTACTCAGTTTACATAACCATAATTATTAGAAAATTTAACTCTTATCGTGATATATCGATAAATTATGTATTGAACCGCCCATAATGTAATTATACAATTGGATTATCATAAAAAAATTAGATAAAATTTGAATTGTGAAAAACAAATTGTATCGTAAAATATCATACAAAGTCGTATTAAGTTATGAAGAAAAAAAAAATCGATAGAGTTATGTACTAATGTTAATTGAATTTTCTGATCTTATGATCCATAGCAAAAAGTTGAAAAATCAAAATGAATCGATGACGTAAATTATAAGAGTTTGACAACCATGAATTTACACTTCGTTAAAAGAAAGTGATGTTATGCAATTCTTTGAATATTTATTTATTTTTTTCATACATGCCAATATGATTAAACAAGTCGACCCCAAGCTACATCTCACCATTCTTTATTTATTTATTTTCCATTTGAATTCTGCCTAAATTGGACCTCCAATAAAACATCATTAAATTGTGCCAACTTTTTTTTTTTTTTCTTTTTTTTTTTTCTTTTTGGTCCTTTTTCAAAATTGCGGGTTATTTACTGACTGCCCCCGCCACTGATGAGTGGTGTCTTTCACAAAAAAATGGAAATTTATAATGACACTTTCCACTTTGATAAAGTTGCTTCATTTTTTCTTCTGTTTTCTAGTTATGTATTACAAAGTAGAATCTCGATTAATTAACCTTCATACATTAATAATCTTACTTAACTAATAGTTTCTATCCTGACTCCTGTAAAAATTTACTAAATTATTAGTTTGATAACTTAATATTTCATTAAATTAATAGAATTTTACTAGTACCGACTGTATTAATTTATTGAAGTTTAATAGTACACATAGCATTTATACACTAAATTTCAGTACGTTGATTCTAATTTTTACATATTCTTTATCTATTTTATTATTTTTGTGGTATTTCGGTATTCTTAGAGTTTTTTTAAGGTAAATATTAGTTTTATCTTTATATTAGTTCTAACTTTTACGGTCTTCAACAAGGTCGCCGTTCACTCTTTCTCAAGGGGTATAACAATTATTGACTAGCCAAAAGATTTATAAAATAAAATACTTTAGAAGGTGTTTGGATAAGCTTATGAACTGTTAAAAAGAGCTTATAACTTATTCCAAAATGTTTGGTAATTTAAAAAAAAAAAAATCTTAAATTAAAAAAATAAGTTGTTGTAGAGCAAATAAGATATTTTCTAAAAAGTACAAATGTCCTACTTTTTTATTTAAGATTTTATATTGACTAATGAGTATATAGCTTATACAATCATTATCCAAACACTTTAAAAATTAATTCAAAAAATAAGACATAACAACCTACCAGCTCTTAAAACAGCTTATCAGATGTAAGAGCTTACCAATTGTTTAAAATATGCTTAGCCAAACGAACCATAAATAAATAGTAACTTGTCGGTTGTCGCTAATGAAAATATTTGTTTATATCCCGACATCTAATTATACTGCACGCCAAGACTCTTATAGTTAACTTTCCCAAATTATTAATTAATCATCGTTTATCCGAAAATTTCACCATACTAGTTTTCACATATTATATAAAGGATCGTTCTACAAAAGATCGACCTACAATTATACTCCGTCCGTTCTATAATATCCATCTCTTTTCATAATTTCTTTTGTTCAATATTATCTGTTACTTTACAATTTCAATGCTGCATTAATTTACATATTTTCGATCATACCCTTATTAACTCTCGAACATTCTTTCTGCATTAATTAGTAAGCAAGGGTATTTTGGTTCAATCAATATTTAGTTTCCTAAAATCAAGACACATTTATTCAGATTCTTGAGACTTGTATCAAGGTGAAAAACGGCACATACTTAGGAACAAAAAGAGTACCTCTCACCGGTCCCAACCAACCACCAAATTCAATATTTATATCAAAGTCGTCTACACTAAATACACATGTCTATTTTCTTAGAGAAATAATAATTTAAAAAAAAAAAAAAATGTCCAAAATCCAATCAATAAAACAAATTCCCTCTCTCATGAATTATTAAAAGGCAACCAACTTTCTCTCCAACAATATATTTTACTATCACACATGTTCTACTCTTATAAGCCAAATTCTAAATAAAAAGAAAAAAGAATTTAATTGGTGAAAATAAATCTTAAAGGTACTAAGATGACAAGTTCATTACCAAGCTACTACTTCTCTTCTTGCCATTGCAAAGGTAGCAACAATCAAGATTCTAGGTCATGTCATAATTCCCTCCCCACAATCAAACGCGCAAAATATGTCGATCAAACTCGTAATATCTTCAAGTTTGGTGCTGCAAACGGGATTTTTACGTAAGTAGTCTTCGATTTTTTTTTTTTTTTTTCTCCGTGGTACTAAAGAAATATATAATTTTTGTTTAATTTGTTGAAAATACAGATCAATTCCATCGAAAAGTTATCATGTTGTTTCGGTGCCGGGAAAATTTCGTGTTAGGGCTTCGTCTTCTCCGAATAGTTCTCCCTCTTCATGGTACAATTATTTAATGTTCTTATATATTTTATGTTTAATATTCCTTTATAAATTTTATTTTATTGTAATTTTTATTTTTTATGCAGGCAAAAGTGGGTGTTGGGATTTCTGCTGACAGTAATTCTACCAGCAGCTGGGTACAAAGGAGGGATCTTTTTGAACCTTAAAAGTTAGAAATGCAATTTTATTAATTTCAAGAAAATTAAATCATTAAAGATAAAAATTAAAATTGCACTTAAACTATATAATTTTTATGCATGTGTTTAAGGCAAGATTGACAAGACTATAGAGACGGTGGAGCACGTGGCGGAGATGGTGGAGGAGGTGGCGGAGGAAGCTGAGAAGATAGTGGAGGAGGTGGAGGAGAAACTGCCGGAAGATTCGAAGATCAAGAAAAAACTTCAATCATTTGATGCTCTAGCTAAAAGGGCTGTTGATGAAGCCAAAAAGGCTGAAGATGCTGTTCATAAGGTAATTAATTAACTCTTTAATCTTCTTTGATTTAATTTGTTCATGGATAAAAAGTAACTTTATTAAGCGAAAAAAAAAATTATAATAATCAACTAATGTTATTCATCGATCCAGTAAAATTTAAAGGCAAATTACCCAAACTCTCCTTCTGTTTAGGTAATTACAGCCACCCCTCAACTATGTATTATTTTACGAAAAAACCCTGCACAGGTGTTAATTCAGTAAAACCGAACAGAAATTTCGGTACGCCAATATTTCATACCTTTTACCAAACCGAATATACGATTTGGTTCGATAATTACCCAAACAAGTAGGGTTTTTTCGTAATTTAACCTTACCTCAGGAGGGTGGCGGGTGGCAGTAATTTGCCCTAAATTTAATTAACAAGCGCAAGATTATTTATACTGACAAATAAATAACTAAAACAAGACAATTTTTGAATTTTCGAGTTTTAACCTAATCCAGCATGAATCGAGCTCGATTAACTTCTTAACGACAAAAAGTCAACGGAAAATAGGTGGTGGAAGCCGGCCAGATCTATATGGTACTAAATTATAATGGTTAGTTAAATCCACATTGGAGGACTATATAATTTAATTAATTATGGATTTAATTGTTAATAATTTGGTAAATATTATATTACAACTAGAATACAAATTAAAAGAATAGTGATGATTCATTCATGAAATGTCATTTCCTTCCAACTTTAGTGCAGTCATATAATGTAATAGGAAGCCAGCAAGAATCACATGGTCATGATTCTTTTCAAGTCACTATCTTTCCATTTTTAATTTGAAATATTTTATCATAGAAATATTTTATTTGCACTCATTATTATGTTTGGCCCCAACTTGAATAAATGACATCAAACTTTCACCTACCCCTTGGCCCATTTTTCAGATGTATATGAAAGAACAATATTCCATTGGTTTTGCCATTAATTGTGGTTTTTTACATTTGCACAAAATATATTAAAATGACTGAAATAGCCTTTATCATTTAATAATGTGGTAAGAGAGATTGTTAATACTCATAGTCGAATTAATAATGTTAAAACATTATTATATAGTCATGTCAAATTATTTCGATGGTTTACTTTTTATTTTTCTTAAAATTAGTCATGGTAATAATATGATTTGTTTTTTAATTATTATTTAGGTATCTCATATCTAGTTATCTTTGCTAGAGTAAATGATTGTCCATGTCAAATTAGTTCGTTTAGTTTTATATTTAAAAAAAAAACATATATATAATATATTAAAAGCATTTAATAGGAAGAAAAAGGGTAAATTAGTCAACGATGTTTTTGAATTTCTTGTAATTTGCAGGTAAAGGATGTGGAGGAAGAAATAGAGGAGACGCTGATAAAAACTGGTAAAGTCGACGCCAAAAAATAGTCTAACCAAACAAGCCCTACGGATTGCATCATCCTTAATAAAATTAGTAGTATGTGTTAACGTTAAAATAAATAATATTTTCGACGTTGATTGTAAGAGATCATTTTTTTTCATTCGTCGCTCGTAATTATTAGTGATGAAAATGTAGCTACAACATAAATAAAATTGTGACAGTTGGTAATGACGGGACCCTCAGTCAATCATATAAGTGTGCTGAATAAACTTACACTCTCGTATCATAGCTTGCAAACTATACGACAGACGTATCCTGATTAAGCATATCTTGCCAATGAGACCAGGTCTTATTTAGGCAATGACATAAAATAGAATAGTCCAATTCATACCAATTTTCTATCTACAAAACATTATTTTCTATCTCAACATCGTACCGAATTTGTTTGGGCAAAGATGGTTCACACCACTACAATAATACTAATAATAATAACAAAATAATATTTTCATATTTAATTTTTTATTTATATAATGGAAAATTATGACCATCCCCAAAGTATGGTAAAATTATGAAAACCCCCTTATGTTTGGGTAATTACAATAACCTCCTCAACTGTACACGTTCACATTTGCGGTTTCAAATTTAGTTGAATCTTCTTGATTATATGGAAAATTATCACTTCTGTATCCGTTTTATCCCATTCGAGAAGCAACATGATTCATAAGATGTGTTTTTTGGCTTGTATATATCAAATTGTGGTGCATCAGAATCTGTATTTTTAAACAAAACGAGTACAAACTAGAGCACATTCCACGGAATCTAGATGATTATGTTGAATTTGACACCCTAAGGGTGAAGGTGTAAGAAGGTTTATAGTTGAGAAGTAGATGTAATTATCTAAACAATAGGGAGTTTGTCGTAATTTGACTATACCTCAGGTGTGGTTGTAATTTACCCTTTATATAAAGAGTGTGGATAATAAGTTCTTATATAAACTAATTATTATTAGTTAACTAAGTTACAATTTTATATGTCAAAACCATTTTCATTTTGTTAATAATTTTATGTTAGAAATAATTCGTGTTAATTGGGTTAATAACCTATTTTATAAATGTATTAATATATGAAGAATAGAATTGGACAAGAAGATAATTATACCTTTCAAATATATTAATAATCTTATTTTAGACATAATACATGTCATTGGATTAATAACCTACTTAATAAATGTACTTGAATTTTATTTCTTATGTTTTCTTAATATTTGACATATCGAAAAAATTAGTAAGACAATAATAATAATTTTTAGGGAAAATAAACAATAACTCTCTTATCTAGGAAATGTAGTTAAGAAAAATTTCTCTCGTGACAATGGAGAGCAGATCTAGGATTTTTTGGTAGATTGGGCAGATGATGGCGCGGGCAGAAAAATTTGCCCAGGCTGGACACTTAATCGACATAGTCGATTAAGTTAATCAACTATGCTCTGATAGCCGATTAAAGTATTAATCAACTGATTTGGTAGTCGATTAAGGTTACTCGTTTTCATTTTTTAATTCGTTTTTGGATTTTTGTGTAATTGATTCTGATTTGTATAAATCAATTACAATTTATGTATATTATTTGTTTTGTAAAAAAAATATTGAGCTTAGTTTTTATGTAGTTTTTTTAGTAGTCAGTTACTTAATCAACTATGCTTCATCATAGTCGATTAATATGCTTCATAGTTGATTTATATACCTGATTGAGAAAAAAAAGTTTAAAAAAAAAATCGACTGAGACGATAGTGCTGATGAGATGGGATGGACATAATTGAAAAAATAAATAGATAAAATTAGGAGTGAATTTTTCTAAAATAGTACTGCATAATTTAAGCCTCTTCATATTAAAAGAAGCATCGGGGGTTACATGAAAGAGCCCATAAATCCCATAAATTCTATTATACCGGGACCTTGATAATAGCATGGGTACTAGAAGTTTGGCACTGTATTCTTACCAAACTCACCACATAATTTCTTGCAACCGGTATTCATTTTTCTTGAAATAATATTAATATAATAAAAAATAATAATAAATATATACATATATACATCTTTTTTCTTTACATTTATATTGTTCTGGGAATATATATGTATATATATATATATATTGTGCTTTTTTGCAGTAAAAATACAAATAAATTAAAAAAAGTCAACCGTATTAGTCTACTATAAAGTTGGAGTAATATATGCAATAACTTCCCCACGAACAACTAACAATAGCAAGACTAGTTCAAATTCCTTGCTTAATAACTCATTTCTTTCCTTCAAAGGGAATCCACCATCAATCAAACAAGTTGTCTACTAATTCCTCTTTGCTTATTCCCACAAGTAAGGTATTTTTTTTCTTTGTAATAACAACATTTACCTAAATCCAACAACCTTGTAAGAAGAAAAATCAAGAATTCTCCCAAAAGAAATACCAGCAAACAAACAGCTTCAGAAAAATGTCTGCGTGGATGTCGTCAGCAAATCGAGAGTCGAACCCCGTAGGCTTCGAGAGATTCGATAAAGACACAACGGGCTATGTTCTTTTTCCCAAATCGGCCCTCGGTCTAATGCAAAACTGCGATTTACCGCCTCCGGTGAAGCTCTTCTCGGGTCCAAACGAGACTCTTCTTTCAAAAGAGAAGGGCGAATTGGAGATTCTAAAGGCGTTGACACTATCACAAACACGAGCGAGAGAAGCGGAGAGGAAACTCAGAACCCTAATCAAGGAAAAAGACGAGCTCTCCAGAATGCTAGTGGACGACTCGTTGAGATTATTCGCTTACAGGCAGTGGGTTCGTTTGCTTGAGTTGGAATTGAATTTGCAAAGGCGGCAGCAGCAGAAGAAAGAGGATGATGTAATGAATTATGCAGACGAATCGAAGGAAGAGGAAAATTACGAAAAAGACGGTATTATTAGCACCAAGAATCAATGGTGTACAGCTATAGGGCTCTGTTTGGCATTTGCTGGTTTCGGTTTTGCATTAGGTTACTACAGTTATCTTTTCTGACTTCATTTTTCATGCCCCTTTTTTTTTTTCCGTAGCTTGTAATTTTCGACGGAAATACGAGGGCAACACAAAACAAAGGAAATAAACTCGACTCTAATAAACATTAATTCTCCAAATAAACACGGATAAAAAAGAAGTTTAGATATGTTTATCAAGGGGGCCAATTGCATATATGTACAAAAAGGCAACTAACTACCCCTAGACAGATTCTATTCTACCAGGCAACGTCAACTTTACATATCGAAAGATTCAAAGATAAGCATGGCAAATAAGCAACACAGACAGATATATAAATATATATATATATTATATAAATATATACATGCATAAATACCGGTAAAATCACATAATAAGTTAAATAATGGCTCCATGTACGGACCTCAAATGGGTGTAGCAATCGTCGCTGCTGTCAAAGTCCAACAAGCATCCCCAGCAAACATGCCTCCCGCACCGGCACTCTATGTGATTGCACCCATCAACTTTCTCGATAGTGAAATCGCAGCACGGGCACTTCTTGACATGCTCCTTCCCCATGCACCATTCCTTGAGTGACAAGTCAGGGTCAGTTTTGAACTCTCTGTACTTCTCGCACGTAAGTTGAGGGTGGTACTCCACGTGGCACCTCGTGCACGTCTCCACGAAGCAAGCACCGCATTGAAAGAGGGAATCGCCATCCTCGGGGCCCGCCACTCTGTACACAGAAGGACAGTCCGGCGAGGGGCAGAACCGGAAATCGCCCCCGCTCGCCGCCACGTAGGCGCCGAGCGAAGCTCGGAAAAGCTCGTCCAGTTTCTCAATGGGAAGCAAAGACCTCAGGTCGGATAGCAGAATTTGGGCCCCGCAATTTTCCTTCGTACAGCGTAGAGGGAAACTGTCTCGGCTTCTTATTGCAGATTCGCACTGTTCGATTAAGCACAGCCGACAGAACTCGTGGCAGCAGCCTTCGAGCATGTACTTGTCCTCCAGGTCACACATACAAATCGGACATGAAACATCGTTGTCGTTCTTCAAAGTCTGCGATCCGCTTGTCTGTGCTAGTTCACGGATTATGTCTTCAACTCTTTGCTTCGATTCTTTGGTGCCCACTACAGATACACAGTGGCGTCTCGTGTTTAAGGATAGCTCTGCTTCTGGAACCTTCTCCCTGAGGGCGCGAAGGTCGGGTCCGAATTGCTGTATAACCCTCTTCATCATGTCGCTGGGGAAAGCTGTGGTGCGTAGATGGATTTCGAGGTGTTTGCTTTCGTGTAGAGAGAGAAGGTTTTTGACGAGGCTATCGTGTGCACGGGCGGTGTTTTCTGGAGAACCAAAGAGTCTTACGGTTGTGGTATGCTTGTTGAAGATTATGTGCGTGCGCGTGTCTCGTTCAATGGATCTCATGAGCATGATTCCGTCTCGCGTGAAGAGTGTCTGAAGGACCGATGGGGTGATGTCCGTATGCTGTACGGCAATCCCTTTCGTGAGTTCCTCCAGCGGTCTTCTCAGCTCCGCCACGATTCTTGTAGCGGTGGCGTAAATCTTTACAAGATAAGCACCGTTTAGGTTTCTTTCCAGATAACATTTGTCACAACCTGTAAAACGAGCGAAAAGGTTAAACACAGTCGGGAATATGCATCTCACCCCAATCGACTTGCTAATACCACCACATCAAGCTACCATCATTGAAAAAAAATATGCTGAAGAGGTCTAATCTTTAAGTATCGGATACCTCAGCAAAATGTAGTACAAATCATGGCTTCATAAACGTACATGCAAAATCACTTCACAAGGCAAGATAAACATACCCTTTTGCTTCTGGATCCTTTGAATCAAAGAATCCAACTGGTCCCTGATAACAAAATACACAGGTGCAGGACAGTAAACAGAGCTATGAAACATTTTGTGAACTCGTATTTTCTGCCATGAATGGAATCCCTGCAATGCTTTCCCATCGATTTGCTCCAACGCCCGAGCTGCTTCCAAATGTAGACTTCCATCAAAAGTAATATTGGCTCTTACGAAACACGAATCTGGTTCCGGGGTGTGCACCTTAATACTTACACAACTACCCCATGGGTTCCTTTTAGGCATAAAGGAATTTAACTCTCGCAAAATTGCTTCTCCGCAAGAAACAGGTGAAGGTTTGTCTACGACATTTCCTCTCATCAAAGAGAAACGCTTAATCCACCTATTTGTTGTTGCTTGTAGCACTGGCAATATTTCATCGTCAGAAAGATCCCTATCAAGTCCACGAAGTACAACACTGTCCCTAAACTTCGTACTTGCTTCACACCAAACAATCCTTCCTCCAATTAACAGATTAGAGAAATCGTTGACGATAAACGGCACATCCACTGGAAGACAATCCACAAATGCAACCCCTTTGCTGGGCCTACGAGGCCACGAGATTTTGGCTATGAGAGATGGCATTCTTTCATTGCCACCAAAATTGCTTCTAAAAGGAATTACCTCCAATAATCCACCACAAAACTCAGTCTTATTCAAGTCGACAGCTTTCTCAGCAGCATCAGGTGTGAGAAATGTCACCCTTCCCCATTTGTTCTTCTCACTGTCTGAACTAGAGCACGAGAGCTTATTAACGGCGCATATTTGACTTGAGGTAAATTTCTCCAGAAAAACGAGAAGCTCCTTATCATCAATTGCACTTCTGTTGGAATGAGATACGTCCACAGTCAAATATCTCTTGTCAAGTTCCAGGTGTTTTATCTCAGCACCAGCACCAAAGAGAGCAATTGAAGGTGGAACCTGGCCTACTCCATTGTATAAGCATTTCTCCAAGCATTCATTTTCCAGCATCTTCTTTTCATACTCCAATCCTTCAGTCACTACACCGCACACTTTCTCCATGTCTCGAGAAGAAGCAAAAACAAGTACCTCATTCTGGTCAACATTGACTTCAACACCTATCCTCTCATCCCCACATGATGCTCTGAGAGTTGAAACAACGGAGCGGACATTGCTATTAAATTTCCCACAAAACCTTTTCAGCGACACACTTCCAAGTCCCGACAAAACCCTCTTCTGCAATTGATGAATGTCCATGTTCAAGAAATCAAACACTGGTGGAGGAGAAAGGGTTGACAACTGGTCAAAGTCGCATGCAGAAACACAGACCATGTACTCGTTGGATACCGAAAGTATCTCCCCGAAAACCACCCAGGCTGGCCTCTGACCAAAATTCAACAGAGAGCATGAAGGATGCAATTGAACATGTTTCTTTGTTACCGCCACTTGATAACCAAGCTGATCGTACCCAGAATACATAGCCACATTTTCTGGCAGCGAAGATAGTATTATACTTTTCAATTTCTTATCATACGCGCTGCAAATTTGGGGGTTCCAATACCAATAATTTGGCACAATGAGATTCATTTCATTTTGAAGGCAACCTTCCATCTCTAGCACAGTGTTCTGGCATCTCCTCAAGGACTTTGCATTAATGCTATTTTCCCAACACCAGACATTTTTCTTTTCCTGTGGCACAGCCTCCCAGGCTTTATAAACAGCAAGCAATGTGAAGAGATCACCATTAGGGTGGCAAAATTGCACCTTAAGGCGGTCAGATTTCAACTTATCGTCCTCTGTACCAACTCTGCAAAATATGTTGCTCGAATTTGCCATTACAGCAGCAAGAACAAGACCCTCTCTACCCAAACGGTGACGAAAGCCCTCCAAAATTATTTTCCCAAGCCGAGGTTCCATACCCATCCTGACCATATCACGCCCTTCGGCAGTTAACTCATAAACATCATTTTTCATAACAACAGCTCCAAGCTGAATAAGGCTTCTCACAGCCATATCTATAGCCTTATCACAAGGTGCATCAACGAAATCAAAGTTCTGCACATCTTTCATGTCCAAAGCAAGAATTTTCAGAACAGCTACACCAAGATGTACCTTACGAATGTCTGGTTCTTGATGAGGCAGCATCGACTCATAATCAGATTCCATGTAGAGTCTATAACATGTCCCAGGTTCAGTTCTCCCAGCACGACCAGCTCGTTGATTAGCAGCGCTCTGGCTAATCTTGCAAACCCTGAGAACGTTCATACCAGTAGCAGGGTCGAATCTACTCTCTTTTGCCATTCCAGAATCAACCACATACTTGACACCTGGAATTGTCAATGATGTCTCGGCAACATTAGTGGCGAATATAACTTTTCTTTTTCCTGGAGACGCTATAAATACTCGATTTTGGTCCTCATAAGAAAGCTTTCCGTGTAAAGGCAAAGCAATGGCAGATGAAGAATGAAACTTCTCACAAGCCCATTCGACTTCCATCTGAGAGGTCAAGAATGCAAGGATAGTGCCTTCCCTCTCAGTTTTGTTGATCTCAGACACCATCTTCAAAACATGAACCGCATACGAAGGAATTAATTTAGAAGGTGGAAGTGCTTCACACTCACAAGGTGCATATTTAATATCGACAGGGAAGTTTCTGCCAGACACATGCAAAGTCATACAATCGAAAAAGTAGCGTGCAAATTGGTCTGCATTCACAGTTGCAGACATAATTATAAGCCTGAGAAATGGCCTCTGACACAGTAGTTTCTTGATTAAAGCCAGAAGGAGGTCGGAATTCAAGCTTCTTTCATGAGCCTCATCAATTATAATGCATGAAATCTTGGAGAGTTGCTTATCACTCATATAGTGCTGCAGTAGGCAGTTATCAGTCATAAATATCACCTTGGGCTCAAAATCCTGAACGGATGAATACGAAGGATAACAGGTGACTGATGTATCCTTATAACAGCCACAGCTTTCCTCTTTGACTCTTTGTGCCAGAGAGATAGCAGAAAGTTTACGAGGCTGAGTGCAAATAATGGACTCAGGGCCTGAAACTCCAGAATCGGCAAGAAACTGAACTAACTGTGTGCTTTTTCCTGAACCCGTCTCACCTATCAGTACGGTAACCTGCGAAAAAATTGTATCCAAATATTATTATAACACACGCCACGTGCTTGAAACTACAGGGTTCATGTCAATCAGAGCGGATATATCTATGAGTACATTTCAATGTTATCACAGGACATTTAAGTGCAAAAATAATGAAAAAAAAGAAATAGCATAATAGTGGGAACCTCTTTAATGAATCTTTTATTGTATGACAATTAAGTAGCGATTTTTCCAAAAAGATATAGTAAAATAAAGATATGGCGTTGATTTGGAACATGAATGTCAATCGACTTAACAATGAAAATTGACAACTAATACATTAGAAACATGAAGCGATGCCATTAACAAAACGTAAACAAATAAAAAATGTTTTCATCGTGTGGCAGGAAATGGAAAAAAAACACCAAATCCTTATTGCAATTGCGTGGTATAAACAAAGTATACAAGCACATTAAAACAACGCTTACTAAACTCACACACTTCCGTTTGTCTACTCTTAGTTTCAATATTTTTTATACAAAAGCATTTTGTGGAACAAGGTTCCTTACACATCCGGTCGATCAACTGCACTTTTTAAAGCTAAAACTAAAAGGAAAACGACAAAATATGCTTCTTTTATATTTATGCTTCCATTATAGATTCGAGTTACGACTGTTCACGAGTATTACTTGTGTTCTGACTTATACCACCAGGTGACATACTTGTTCCCCAAGTAAAAGATTGTCATTGATATGGCATTTTTTCCCACATCAATCCCTAGACGCAAACTTAGTGGAACCCATAATTTGCTCGTCATACTTTCTACGCGCATAACAAACAAAAAGAAACTCGGACCCTATACTAAACACGCTATCGGAAATTCAAATGCAAAATAATTAAAACATCTAGATTAAGTAAATTTAAGTTACGCCGAAATTTAAACAACCTGTTGGCAATGTATTTGCTTCAAAATGTCGCGTCTATGTGCATAAATAGGCAGTCCATCATCAAGCCTTCTACATTCCCTCATCATCAACTTGTAAATTCTCCTCCAATCAATTTCTCCTTTCAAAAAGCAAAAAATCGGAACGCTCCCTTCTTCATCAGTTTCCTTATTCTCCAAATAATTTTCAATACACTTCACCGCATTCTTGAATTCCTGCACCCTGTTCAAGATTAGATCCCTCTCCGCCTGCAAACCTTTCCTTTTCCTCAATTGCTCATCAACTACACCTAACCTCTGTGGTTTCTTCAACTTATCCGAAACCCTATTAATTTCATTCACCACATTCCCCAATTTCTTCAGCCACTTCTCCACCAAATCCCCTTCTTTCAACCCCTTCAACTTCTCCAAGAACAGCTCCTTTAACCGATCGTTCAATTCCGACTTATCCGAAGGCACCTCGACATTAGAAACGACGTGAGGCCAAAATTTGTGCCCATCTTCATTCAATTTCAGTTCCCACAACTGAACAACTGTTTCCAGAGTTTCACTCCACTGCTCATAATGAAGTTTACCCGCTATATAATTAGAGGCGACAACATCCGATTTCTGCGGCCGGAACTTAAGTTTCTGAATTAAACCCTCCACCTCCGCCGCCTTCACTGCAGATTGGGCGTCGGAATGAACCTGGACGATGAAATTGGGTCGGGCTGGGGGTCGATCACGCTGGTGGGGAGAAAACGCGGGCCTGAAGCGGTTCTGTTGATTTGGCGGGCGGCGGAACGGCGGACCTTGGTAATTATAGTGGCGGGGGACGGTGGACCTGTGGTGGGGGTTGGATTCCGACGGCGGCTGACGACCGCCGCCGGAGGCGGAGCTGCTCGTCCTTTGCATTGTACAGTCAGCGAAATTGAAAAATATTGACGAAAACCCTAGACAGAGAGAGAGTGGCGTTAGGGTTTCTACGGGCGTTACTTGTTCCGGTGTTTGATCTGTGAAGGCAACAACTCAACGACTGATGGAGAAAAGTACTTTGTACGGCGAGAAATGTAGAGAGAGAAAGAAGAGAGAGAGAGAGAGACTGCGGGAAAATATGGCGGCGAGTACGAGAAAAATGAGTATTGTATTTGCAGAAGTTTTATTTATTCCATTAATTAAATAACGGAGAAAAATTAGTGACTGTAACAAAGGGGAACACAAAAAGTCAAAAAGTCAAATCAATTCAGTGTGCGCTTTTACCTACTTTATTTTTATTTTCATGTATTTTGTGAGTGGTTTTAATTTTTTTTAATCTTTTATTTACTTTTTCTTTTATGGTCATTAATTAATGATTTTCATACCAAGTGACAAAAAAGAAAAAGCATATTGTGGAAATATTAAATGGACCATGACTCTAAAAAATCATATCAAATGGAGTATCTAGTAATGATTATATAAATGCTTTTTTGATTTTGTGAATTTGGTTTGGTGATTATGTGTAATATTTTATCAAATACATTGATTAAATTGTGTTGCAAAAGTTTATCCAGTGTATTTAAATGGTTGGTGGAAGATTTTTCCGTTAAGAATATGTTTTTTTTAAGGAAATGATGCAGATCGTGAAAAACTTGTGTGGTAGAGAAGAAAAGAAAATACGACGAGGAATTACGGAAAGTCATTTAATGGGAATATTTTAATACGACAAATTTAATATACGTGTTATATCGGATATTCAATTTTGAAATATGCTCGTGTTAATAACTATTATATTCTCCCGGCACGTGTTCAACGACAATAAGTTGGATATCTCAAAGCTTGTCGATTTAAGAAATTAAGAAAGACAAACTAGCACTTTTCTCAGTCCATAAAATTTATAAAGTTCATCTAAAATTCGTTAACTTGACATCGTACACGCATCATGTTAGTTAGATTCATTGCGTTCGACACAAGTAAAGTTTGTTTGAATTTAATTAATTTAATACATAAACTAAACTCAACCACATTTTTCAGACACATGAACAATTCAAACCAAGTTCGAACAATATTTGTAGTACCTCGATTTCATTCACGTACATAAACCAAAAAAATATGAAGAATTTGGAAAGTCATTTAATAATAGATAACGTTAATACGACAAATTTAGTACTTGTAATATCTGGTATTTAATTATGTAACGTACTCGTGTTAGTATCTATTACATTATTACACGTGTTCAAAGATAATACGTTTGATCTCTGAAAACTTGAAGATTTAACTAACCAAGAAAGATCAATCGAGTCTGAGCACTTTTCACGGTCCGTAAATTTTGAAATCCATCTCAAACTCGTTATCATGACATCGTACACGTGTAAAGTTAGATTTATTTGTGTCAATCAACTAATAGCCTAGTTGTCTAAGCTTATTTAAACAACTGATAAACTCTTACATCTGATAAGTTGTTTTAAGAGTCAATAAATTGTTACATCTTATTGTTTAGAATTGTATTAATTTGGACAATCAATATATAAGCTCTTCAACAACTTATTTATTGAAGTTTTTATATTTTGATTATTTCATAAAATTGGATGCCATTGAAGCAAAAAATAATAACAATGTGGAAAAGACAAGACAAAGATGTGGTTGTTTTCTTCTTGTTCCACATGCATATTGTTTCTTGAACACTTGTTAGCATCAAATTGTTTTTATATAGAAAGTACATGGTATGGTACCTTGTGAATGATTAAAATACCTTAATTATTTATAATAAAATAAAAAATTAAATTAAAAAGTGATTGGATAATATTTCAAGAAGATTCTAGATTTGGGTTTATCCGAAATGATTTCCACGTGGGCTTAATATAAATATATATTTTTTAACACAGATGAATCATAAATTGTGTGTGCCCATTTCAACTTTTGTGGTACAGTACAACCTTATAACTCATATTCCTTCGTATACCCGGCCCAACAACCCGGCCCAGCAAGCAAAATTTTAAATTTATCTGCTATTCTAAAATATAATTAAGGTAAAATTTATTTTGCACCCCTATGGCCTATGCTATCCAAAAAGGTCATTTTGCCCCCGATATATAGAAGACATTAAATGTCCCCCATTTTTTTACGGTTAATGGTCAAACTTTTAACGGTGTTAAATTTAAGTGTTCAATGACTCTTTTAACCCGCTTTATATCTGATAGAATCCCCTAATTCTTTTTGGGCCCTTTTGCTTTTCAAGATGGGATTGCATGGGATAGGATTAGCCTCTTTGGATTACACTGTTGGGATTGGTGATTCTGGAACCAATTTCATCCTAGGTATGATGGATAAACACATTTGGATTAAATTCGATCTGATATCAATATCATCTTAGGTTTGCAGGACAAAATCAGATCAGTGCATAAAGTTACAAAATTGCCCTGAAATATAGTTAAAAGATGCCTTTTTCCTTCTTTCTTTGTTAATATGTTCTAAAAATTATTAATATTTTTTCTACCATCCATATCTCATTCCAAGAAATAAACATGCAAACTTCAACACTCTAAAAATTAAATAATTACCATTTATCCAAATTCATGAAACAATACACAAATTAGCCATTTTCTAATATTCACACTACATTAACTAGAAACACAAATACAATGTATTAACGAAAACTTTAGTATGAAAGAAATATTTCCGAAATACATCAAAGCATAGCATTTCAAATTTGGTAGTTCTTGATCACCACCATTCACCTGTTACAAAAGGAAAAACAAAATATAGGAAATAAATTACTTGAGTTAATAACGAAAGAATGACTATAAAACTATATTTTATGTGTTCATACTCAATTTTATACCAATTCTTTGGATGGAGAATTATCATCTTCAGTATTGAAATTATATTACATAAGACATTTAATTATTGTCCACCACAAAAAAAGAAGTAATCAAGCATAGAAGAACTTCTAGTCGATTATTTCATTAGTTTGTGGGGATAACTAGAAATAATTTAACCAAGGACAAGTAGATTATTGATCATTTAAACCATAACTTAGAAATATTCATCGGTACTATTAATAACATGACTAGTTTGTCCCCAAGAATATGTCTACAAAAATTGGCATCTAACCCCTGTTTGTATTATATTTCTCATAACATAGTAGATACACGAGAGATTAGAGATGTGCTATCCTTGGGAAAAAGAGTGTAGCAATATACCTTAAAGTAAGACATCTTGTTTACTAATAGATATCTGCTACACCGTAAGTCTGTAAAAACAGAACAAAGAGGTCACATAAACACTAGAAGAAACCGAGCGCTTCATTAAGGGAGAGACGGAAGAAATATTGGGGACAAAATCGATTTTATACCTGCTTCTTCAACGACATAAACACTAGAAGAAACCGAGCGAGAGTTGAAGACTAGGGTAGGAAGTAATTTATATCTGCTAACATCTGTAATTCGAAGGACAATATTGGAAGTAAAATTTCGAATGAATCCAACATGATTTACAGATTAGGTAATCTGACCTCAAGGGGTGTGATTAGATAGTCCTGGAATTCCAGGAAATAAGAGGATAGCCTACCGGGCCGATAATCAGTCGCGGGCCGTTATAATAGAAACCTAACTATTGATTCTGAGTGACTAATCAGTCAATCCTGTGTTTTCATTGAAAGCAAAAGGGCCCTTTATAGATTGTTTCACTTTCTAGGATTGTTGACGATTTTTAGCGTTTGTTCAAATATTTATGGTTTTTTGTCGATTTTAGTAATTGTTTAGGGGTTCGGTTTCGGTAAGAGTTAGAAATGATTGAATAAAGTGAAGAAAAAAAATTGAAAAGAGTGAATATTTTGTAAAAGTCAAAAAAAAAAAGCCAACAATTCTTTGCAACAGTCGATCAAAAGTTTTGACTAACGGAATCAGTAAAAAGTTTAATGACAGGGCGAGGAGTGGGAAAAGTATGAATAATGTATTTCTATTGGAAAAATTATTAAGAAAAATAGGAATTTCCAAGTGAAAATTCTCAAACAAACATAATCCTAGTTTTATGTATAATATAAAGAAATTGATTTTGAAAACAAAAATTAACGTGACCTAAGTCTACAGATTTTTCAAAAGATTTGACTAACGGAATCAGTAAAAAGGTTAATGACAGGGGGATGTTTGATGTTTTCTTACACATCAAGGAGGTTAATGATACTTTCCTCATAGTATATGAGTGCAAAATGAATTTTACCCTATAATTAAAGTTGAAAATTACAATAAACACACGCACACATATATATTTATTTATTTTGCCAAAATTTCTTGGTAAATAAGGATCACCCTTTGAGGTAATGTCAAATTACGAAAAAAAATCTAATGTTTGGGTAATTACAACCAACCCCCTTAACTATGAATCTTCTTACACGTCCATCTTTGCGGTATCAAATTTAGTGGAATCTTCTAGATTATGTGGAATATTCTCCCGTTTGTACCCGTATTACCCGATTCGAGCTTCATATTTTGAAACAAGATGATCATAAGATGTGTCTTTTGATTTGTAAATATCAAAAACTGCATTTCTACACAAAATGAGTACAAATTAGAGAATATTTCACGGAATCTAGAAGATTATGTTGAATTTGATACTACAAGGGTAGACGTGTAAAAAGTTTTATAATTGAGGGAAGGTTGTAATTATCCAAATATGAGAGGAGTTTTCGTAATTTGACATATCAGGGGTTTGACCCTAATTTTCTCAAATAAAATTCAAAGTTTAATAAGTCAAATTCTATTATGACATGTATAAACTTGGACCTCTATTAATCAATGTCACAAAAAAGTTTACTTAGATTAGAAAAAAAAAATACAAAATTGGAAACTTATGTCCCAAAAAAAGAAAAAAAAAGCCAACTTAGTTTCTCTCACCAATTCAACCATGCATGCGAGATCCATCTCAAATCAACCTCCTCCCACCACCACCACCACCACTCCACCACCACTCCTAAATTCGTGTCCACTTCTCCACTACCACTCCACCGGCAATGTCATCCCCCACTGCCCCCTCCCTCCCCATCCACACCGCCCCCACCACCCCCACCGCCGCCGCCGCCACCACA